CTTCAAGAAGATCTAGAAGTTATTTTAGATAAGCTTCGTGAAATAGCTCCATGTGAAAAAATGACACCTGAATTATGGCGAAAATATCAAACTGCAAACAAATGTTGAATATGTGAAGAAAAATTACATGAAGCTGGATATAATAAAATTCGTGTATTCAATCCTAAAACCAAAAAATATTGGGTGCTTCGCATAGAAAATTTCACAGGAAAAAATTAATGATTTAAGGTAAGTTAGATGATGAGCAAAAAAAAAAATATAAATCTTGTAAGGTATGTTTGTATTGCAAAACACATTTACCAGACAAGAAAAAAAATAGAGTAATAGATCATAACCATATTACAGGAAAGTTTAGAGGACCAGCTCATAGTAGATGTAATTTAAAATTACAAATCGATCCAGAAACAATAAAAATTCTGGTATTATTTTGTAATGGAAGTAGCTATAATTTTCATCATCTTATGCAAGAAATAGCTAAAGTAACAGATAAAAAAATAGTGCCCATAGCAAATAATTCTGAACAATATATCACTTTCTCAGTTGGGCAACTTCAATTTATAGATAGTATGAAATTTTCGTTACCGGGTTTAGCTAAGATGGCAGAAAATTTACGAGATGAAAAAAAGGGGAAAAACAAAACACCAAAACAACTAGCCAAATGTTTTCCAATTATGTCAAAATTCATCTCATCTCATTTGTTATCATTGCTTATGTGTAAAGAAATTTTTCTATATCAATGGTTAAACAATAAAACAAAATTTAATGAGACATAGCTCCCACCACATAAAGATTTTAATAGTGATTTAGATGGGTTTAATTACTATGATCATAATTGTAGAATAGAAAAATATGAGCATGGAGAGAAGATAGGGAAATGCAAACATAAATGTCAGAAATATAAGCATACAAAAGAACCAGGTAATTGCAATGAATGTGAAGAAAATAAAGAATGTGAACACGAAAAAATTTATACCATATCTCAAAAGGATTATGATTTTGCATATATGGTCTGGCGAGAAACAGAATGCAAGACTTTTGGAGATTATCATGATATCTATCTTAAAACTGATGTATTAATTTTGGCAGATGTATTCGAGGCATTCCGTAAAGCCTCATATTCAGCATTTAAGCTTGACCCAGCAAATTATTTAACCACACCAGGTTTAGCATGGGATGCTTGTATGAAAGTAACAAAAGTTAAGCTAGAATTATTTAATAAGCATCAAGGGGGATATGCACGATTTCTTTATAGCCATGAAAAGAGGTGAAATGTCTTTGGCTAGACGACGTATAGCTATAGCTAATATTCCAAGATTAGAAGGGTATGATGGAAAAAAGACAAAAAAATGGTTGCTCTACTTAGATGCAAATAATCTTTATAGCTAGGCAATGTCTCAACATTTACCAACTGGTGGATTTAAATAGCTATCTACTCATCTACTAGAAGCAACTTATTCATTAGTGCAAAAAATTTTTAAGATTAAAAGAAAAATCAAATCAAGAATATTGTTTAGAGGTTAAGTTATTAATTCCAAAAGAATTATATCCAAAGTTTCAGAACTATCCTATGTGTCCAGAACGAATGAAAGTACCATATGATTGGTATAGTTCAAAACAAAAAGAATGGTTAGGGAAGCAACGTTCAGATACAGAAAAACTTATACTAACTCTCCATGATAAGGACCATTATGTTATTCATTATAGAAATCTACAACAATGTATAAAGGAAGGATATGTTCTTGAAAAAGTATATCGAATTCTAGGTTTCGAACAATCACCATGGTTGGAACCATATATTGCAATGAATACTCAACGACGTGCAAAAGCAAAGAATGCCTTTGAAAAAGATTTCTGGAAATTAATGAATAACTCAGTATTTGGAAAAACTATGGAAGATGTAAGAAAACGAGTGAATATAGATTTAGTTAGACAGGTAGGTGAAGAACAGAGGTTACGTAGATTAATATCAGATCTGGCATTTGTTAGTCAGAAAATTTTCTATGAAGCAAATTTGGTAGCGGTACATCGAAGACAAACCAATATAAAACTAAATAAGCCAGAATATGTTGGAGCATGTATTCTTGATCTTTCTAAATACTTTATATATGACTTCTGGTATGGACATCTCAAAAAGAAGTATGATGATTGAGTAAGACTTTTATACACAAATACAGATTCTTTAATCATAGAAATTGAAACCGAAAATATTTATCAAAACATGATCGATGATTGCGATTTATTTGATTTTAGTGACTATCCAGAAGATCATTGGGTAGTAAAAAATCTTCCAGAAGATCAGTGGATAATCAATGAAGGTAAACGTGTCTTAAAAAATACAAAAGTTATAGGTAAGTGGAAGGACGAAAATGGAGGAGATCATGCTATTGGCTATGCTGGAGTTCATGCAAAATGCTATAGTGTTATATGTGAAAATTCATGAAAAAATATGATAAAAGCAAAGGGTCTTAAAAAAGCACTTATCAAGAGAGAGCTCACACATAAAATATTCGAAAACTGTATTTTAGAGGGAAAAGAGGATCAACCACGAACCGCACAATTCTTCCGAAGTTACAGGCATCGAATGTATAGAATAAAGCAAACAAAGAGGAGTATTAACCCACTAGATACAAAATTATAGTTACCCCAAGATGAAAAAGCTGATCCATATGTATATGGAGATTGTGAAATTCCGGAAGAATAAACATCCCACTAAATCGTTCTACTTATTGTAATGTATATCTATTTTTTATGATCGATAATAAATAAATATAACAATTAAATAAAAAATCTTAGTTAATAAAATCCACACGTTTGATATATACAATAAACATGTATATATATAACCCACTTGTTGTTCTGGACACTATAGCTGAAATCATTCCAAATCTCCCATTGAAGGCTCTCGACAAATTCTGCTAGATTAATAAAACTTGGTATAAAGAAATTCAACATGAACTCCGAAAAAGATGGGAGATACAAGTGTTAAAAAGTTATAAATTAAAGCTTGAAAAAGATGAGAAAATAAAGAAAGCACTAAAACAATATTTAGATGATGAGGAACTTCAAGGATATATGGAATATGGTATGAAGCTTAAATATTATACAAAGCTACTTGAGACTGCTAAAAAACAAGTAAAGATTGAAAGGTGTATGCTTACCAATGGAATGCTTTATGGGCAGGAAAGGGAAATTGTTAAAAATAACATACAACAGATTGCAAATAAAATAATTCCTTGAGGAGATATTTATGAAGATTGGAATATTAATGAATTATTAGCGAAAATATAAATAAGATCGGGCGATCTCTCCCCATACTAAATAATTCATGAATGAACCCGATCACCAAATCCAAAATTAGTTTTCATAGTATCTAAATTTGGTTTGTTAATAACGAGAAGTATATTATATAATGGGATAAGTTAATAATAAATTGCAAATACTTATCTGACTAAAATTCGGGTAATTGTACTGATTTGGATATTATATCTGTTTGCTCTTATCTAGCAAATAATCCTGAACAATGTGAAAATAGTATATAGTCAGGTAAGAGTAAAATGATAAGAAAATTTTTTTCTTCATAAACCAGCTTAGCATATTCTATACTATGAGTCTTGAACCACTTAGCGAAAGAGAACTTGCTAAAAAATACCCCAAACGATCAGAGTT